CCTCATCTTTTCTTCACAATTTCCATTGGAATTCCAAAGGATTCAAGGTGCAATGACGGCATACCAAGTAAAAGCATCCCCAATGTAATTTACCTTCTTCTTTGCTGGGCCTAAGAAGTGCAAGAAAAAAAAAGAGAAACAGAAAATATTTTTATTAGTTTGCCCTCTTTCTTTCAAGAGAGATCCCCCTTGGGGAGCGGCAAGTAGCAGAATAGTTTACAACGCTTTCCCGTCACACAGAGTCAGAATATCTGTTGTATTTTGATAATTTCCCCTCCCCTCAAAGATTCTCATTACAGTAATAAATTTACCATGTAGGCAGAACAGTAAAACAGCAGAAGAAAACTCAACAAGATCAAAAATTAATATACGTTGTCATTTGTACTGTATCCCAAAAGAAAACAGAAATTATAAATGGGCAATATACCGAACAGTTAGTCATTGTGTTTTGTGAGGCCATACGGCATATTTGCATTACCCCCAAACTCATACTACAAAAAAAGCAACATATCAAAGGAGGTTTTAGTTCGCTAATATTTTTGGAATTTCATCGTATTTCAGTTGAAATTGACTTATTGCTCTACTTCCTGTCTTCGTACTCTTATTAATTCTTCTATTGTGGATATATTTCCTTGTTTACATATCGCTTCTAAAGCTTCAATAAGCCATATAATCATTGACTGTGACATGTTCACTTGATACTGATTTACCTTTTCCTTCCAGAATTTGATAATATCGTTTTGTTGCTCAGGGGTATACTCTGACGATGTGCTCCGACCGCATCCTTGCCATACCCTTATTCGTCTGCTCTCATCAGTGTCATAGGGTTGTATATAAATGATCTCCCATGATACTTTCTTGGAAATAACAGTCCAGTCAGAAAAACATTCTGTAAGATATTCAATGAATTTACATACTTTACTAGCTGTAGTTTCATGTCTTGCGGCAGTTGTTGTTTGTATTCCAATCAGTGTAACCGTTCCCTCTGGGGATTTCACAAAGTAGAAAGCATCCAACACAGGGAAATTAGATATAGAAGGATGGTAAAGTTTGTTGTACTCTATCCTCCTGCTGGCATCATTT